CAGGCCTGGTAGGACCTGGGTTTGGGTCTCTGGCCTGAGACAATGGGAAACACTGAGCAAGTTTAAACAGCCAAGCTTAAACCTCGTCAGATTTTACCCAGACTGAGGACCCACCCGCTGGGCTGGAGTCCCAGAAGTCTTTGCGTTGCTCCAAGGTGGTTTCTTCCTAAGGTGGGTGTTGACAGAACCACCTCACTGGGCCACGATTTACCATTTCGCTGGGTGTCTACCTAATGCCAAGTGGGTGCAATCTTCCTTGCTATGGATGAGGAAACCAAGGCACAGAGAGGTTAAGTGACTTGCCCAGGGACACACAGCAGGAAGGTGACAGGCTGGTATGAACCTAACAGGTCTGTCACTATCTAAACTCTCGGATTCCATGGCCCTGGAATGGGGCGGGTTAAGTGAGGGACGGATGTGAGCAGCACAGGGCGGGGAGCTGGCCCTCTCTGAGCCCATCCTTTCTCCTTCACTTCCGGTCTCAACAGATGCTCTGAGAAAAAGACCAGGGAGCCTGTGTGTGTGTGTGTGTGTGTGTGTGTGTGTTTGTATATTTGTGTGTCTGAGTGTGTTTGTGTGTGAGTGTGTGTTTGTGTATATGAGTGTTTGTGTGTATGTCTATGTGAGTATGTATGAGTGTGTTTATGTGTGTGTCTGTGTGTGTGTATGTGAGTGGGTGTTTGTGTGTGTGTGTGTATGTGAGATGTTTGTGTGTGTGTCTGAGTGTGTTTGTGTGTGTGTGAGTGTGTGTGTTTGCATGAGTGTGTGTGAATGTGTACGAGTGTTAGTGTGTGAGTGTGTGTTTGTGTGTATGAGTGTGTGTATGAGTGTGTTTGTGTGTGTAAATGTCTGAGTGTATGTGAGTGTGTGAGAGTGTGTAAATGTCTGAGTTTGTGTGTGTGTGAGTGTGTGTGTATGTGTGTATGAGTGTATAAGTGAGTGTATGAGTGTGTGTGTATGAGTGTGTGTGTAAATGTCTGTGAGTGTATGTGAGAGTGTGTGTGAGTGTGTGTGAGTGTGAGAGTGTGAGTGTGAGAGTGTGTGTGAGAGTGAGTGTATGTGAGTGTGTGTGAGTGTGTGTGTGAGTGTGTGTGAGTGTGAGAGTGTGAGTGTGAGAGTGTGTGTGAGAGTGAGTGTATGTGAGTGTGTGTGAGTGTGTGTGTGAGTGTGTGTGAGTGTGAGAGTGTGAGTGTGAGAGTGTGTGTGAGAGTGAGTGTATGTGAGTGTGTGTGAGTGTGTGTGTGAGTGTGTGTGAGTGTGAGTGAGTGTGTGAGAGTGTGAGTGTGTGTGAGTGTGTATATGAATGTGTGTGTATGAGTGTGTGTGTAAATGTCTGTGAGTGTATGTGAGAGTGTGTGTGAGTGTGTGTGAGTGTGAGAGTGTGAGTGTGAGAGTGTGTGTGAGAGTGAGTGTATGTGAGTGTGTGTGAGTGTGTGTGTGAGTGTGTGTGAGTGTGAGAGTGTGAGTGTGAGAGTGTGTGTGAGAGTGAGTGTATGTGAGTGTGTGTGAGTGTGTGTGTGAGTGTGTGTGAGTGTGAGAGTGTGAGTGTGAGAGTGTGTGTGAGAGTGAGTGTATGTGAGTGTGTGTGAGTGTGTGTGTGAGTGTGTGTGAGTGTGAGTGAGTGTGTGAGAGTGTGAGTGTGTGTGAGTGTGTATATGAATGTGTGTGTATGAGTGTGTGTGTAAATGTCTGTGAGTGTATGTGAGAGTGTGTGTGAGTGTGTGTGAGTGTGAGAGTGTGAGTGTGAGAGTGTGTGTGAGAGTGAGTGTATGTGAGTGTGTGTGAGTGTGTGTGTGAGTGTGTGTGAGTGTGAGTGAGTGTGTGAGAGTGTGAGTGTGTGTGAGTGTGTATATGAATGTGTGTGTATGAGTGTGTGTGTAAATGTCTGTGAGTGTGAGTGTGTAAGAGTGTGTGTGAGTGTGAGTGAGTGTGTGTGAGTGTGCAGGTCTAGTTATCTGGCAGCAAGGGGACTCAGTTAATAATCCAGTTCCCAGCTCCCCTGGGGAGTCAGCAGCGAGGGTGCAGGCTGGAGGCAGGCTGCAAGGTCAGGGCAGAGGGCAGACAGTGACACAGCAGGAGGCCGCGGAGCCTGGAGCCTTCTGTGGAGGAGGGTGCGGGCCCGGGCGCGCTGCTATTTTGGGCTGGTCCCGGGTCACCAGCCCCACGTGCTCATGCCGCGCCTTCGCGGTAGAATTCTTTTGGGCCTGAGCTGGGGCGGCGGCAGAGGCTGCCGTCCTTGGGACAGAGACCGTGTCATTGAACGAGGGTGGTGAGCAGGGACACACCTGGAAAGACGCCGGGGCCCGGAGCCCCTCCCCAGTTCACTCTCCACCTGCTCCTGGGGGCACGGTCCTCCCGGGGCTTTCGGGTTCCTGGGGCGGCGAGTCCAGCTGGAGACGGCTGTGTGGCCTGCGCTGCGTTTCAAACATGACCTGATGCCCTGAAACGCGGATCTGAGCGGAGGGTGGGGCTGGAGGCAGCAACCAGGACTGAGGACGAAAAGGAAAGAGCTTCCGGAGCCTCTTCTCTCTAAGTCACTCCAGAGGCGCGATGGTTCGGGTGAGAGGGCACGCGGTGTCCCGCCTCGAGGGGAGGTCTTTTCCCACAGCTGCCCTGGCCGCCTCGCCTCCTGGGAGGGCTGAGGAGCTGTCAGGGGCGTCTTAGCCATTAAGTGACCTCGGTGATTCTTGCCTCGGTGACAGGTTGGGGCCACGGAGGGACAGGGGCAGCTGTGGCAGGAGCACCGGGCACAGCGCGGCCCAGCAGCCACTCCGCCCCGCGGGCCCCGTCTCACGTGGGCGTGTCGGTGGGTAAGAGCTGCCCGGGCGCTGGGCGCAAGGCTCCCACGAGGGAAGTAAAGGTCATGTCCTGCGTCTGAACTGCTCTGTGCTCTGGGGTGAGCGCGAAGCCGGGTCTGTCTCCCGCCCGCTTCCCCCGAGTGCCGGCAGCACTGGCTTCTCCGAGCTCTGTCCACAGCTCGGCGGCCACGGAGCCTCACGGGCCCTTTCCCGGGACCCATCCCAGCTTGTTGCCCTTCAGTTTCTCCTCCTCGGAAAGCCACGGAGTGTCCTCCTTCACTCATCCAACAGCAGCACCTGCATCGGCCCGTGCCCTGTCGCACGGATATGGAGGGGCAGGTGCACTGCCACCTTGGGGCTCGGGTCCGGAGGGCAGCTAACCAGGTCAGCGACCCCAGAGCGGGCTGCACCCTCTCTCTGACTCCGAGACCCCCACACTCCAGCCTGGCCGGCGACAGGAAGATAAAGGAGAAGAGGAGGGTCTGGGCCTTAACTCGGAGAAGAGGTTGTCATTGTCGACAGCTGGCGCTGGACTTCTAAGGACCTGCAGCATCAGCCGAGCACCTTATACTAATAGATGGTGTGGGATTCACACCTCACAGACGTACGTGGGAGGCAGGACCCACTGGGTGCTGGTTGAGGAAAGCTGACCTGAACGACATTCAACAGAAAAAGGGGTTAGTGCTCGCGTAGTTGGGGGAAAGAATGGGTTAGCACTTGACGGG